AAAGCTTACTAAATGATTTGCTAGAGTCTGTGAATATCACATTGACAGACAAACCTTTACCTAGGGCTGCTGCTCGGTCCCTTCTCAAAATAATTAAGTTCGTTAAGCATGGATGTTGTTCAGGAGTTAACAGACTGTATGATTCTATATGGCTTGGTAACTTAACCCGGATTATCTTTTGAAGAAACTTAACTACTATGTTGATTAAACTGACAAGTCAGTAGTCGGACACGATCTGTCTCTATTCATGCTTAAATATATATGACCGACTATGACGGCTTTCCGATCTCTAGGTTGTCGAGTGCAGGAAAGGGATATGTTGAGCAGCATCGTAAGTGGCCGTGAAATACTCTTCGAGACAGATAAATGAGGTCGTGCATGTAATGCATCAGGGTCAGATATCCTACAGCATCTGAGGTTAACAGCTTCCTCAGCCATATGTACAGGTCCCGTAGTCGAGATCTCAATGGTGTGGTTATGACATGTATCGTTAGCAATATTCACTGAGCATACTTCGATTAAATGGCTTGATAAAATCGTAAATCTGAATTTTGCGCAACAGTAATGTAGGTGTGCCATCACTACGTTTTGTTCTTCGTTCACTGTACGAAAACAATCGTTTTGGGTATTTACGGCTATCATATACCAATCGTCTTCCGTAAGCGGTGCTGTATCCAGCTACAGCCTTTTCACAAATACTCCAGATGTTTCAATATTCAAAATTAAATGATTCGTGACCTCTTGACAAGAATAAGTCCCAGAAGTGTTTCCTACTCCTCAGCGGCTATGGGCCTTTTTATCGATCCATGGATGGCAATGTGATAGCCTGCGTGTTGACCATGGGATGAACGGAGATGTGGATTTAAACTCATCACATGTCGGATTGAACCATGTGCATTGGCCGACCAGTCTTTTGAAACAGAACAGTCTCTGCTTGCAGAAATGTTAGCTCGCCGGACATTGAAATGGGGTGGAGCAAATACACACCGTATACTATGTATCCGAAGCCTAAAGTGCAGCACAACGTGATCACTGTTGGATGTTGGGGGAGGTACTGGATGTCGGTGGCATCATTACAGTGGTGTGTGAAGACAAGGCTCAACAATGACGGACCATGTTCCAAGTATATATGTGCTGGTTCCGCGACACATTATATATGTGCACACTGAATAAGGGTTGACAGTATATTGCTATCAAAATATCCATTTGAAGTTCACAGCTCTATCCAGTTAATATGTGGCACGTTAAAATACCGAATGACGAGACAACAACCAGTCTTACTTCAAGAATAGATATGACATATGGCAAAGTCGTCAGCAAGACAACTGGGACTATGGAATATTATTTATATAGTCACTAACCCGTGTCTAGGTAGACTTGTACAACAAGCTACCTCACACGTACCATTGTCTTGTCCCTCTGATGTAATCGATTGTACAGAAAGTTATCTCAACCATATAATATTATTCCTTCTCCCTTGCGATCCATGAGATTATCACGTTTAAGATTGGTGTATACTGAAATTATTGGAGAGCAGTCTTTGTCTACGATGAACCATGTCTCCGTGACAATAATTATATCGTGACCTAATTCACTAAAATACGAAGCCTACTCAAGACCCTATAAAATATATAAAAATAAATAAATGAATAAAAAGGCTCCAATAACTTCGACAAAAGAAAGAGATGGCCGATTGTGTACCATAATACGGTTTTCAACACTATATATTATAGCTACACATAATGCCATACTCTCAGCACTTTTCTGGACCACCTCCGTTTATCAGCAGTTTATCCACTCATACATTGTTTACACTTATTTTGATTAACATATTAGAATGCCCTTGCTTAGTAAATACTCGAAAAAAAGGAAATTAGACTGGGCAGCCATATCTTATAACATTCTTCACTAAAAACCTAGTACCGATTAACTGTGTACCCAGTATTCCCTTTCCCCATCATTAATGTTGTTTCGTGATAACACTGTTAACTAATTGGTCTGCTGCGTGGTCTGGTTTTGTATGTATATAAACGAATGTCTGAAATATAATGACGAACGTAAACAGGTGAACATTGGACTTAAGTTCTTCCCCTTCGTTCGTGGGTAATTAGTATTGGGTTAACTTCTAGGCATATAGTGTCAGTCTTCCTCGTCCTTAGTGTGTATTGGCTGCTCAGAGTCATCTGGGCGTATGAAGTGATTGTAGGGTACAACAAGTACATTACGGAAAAACGATGTCTAATAATTTTCAACACTGAGTGATAAAATATTTTAAATTCTCAGGTAGCGTGTACTAGAATGGTTGGGAATAGGTATTGCCAAATCTTAAATTTGTCTCATCGTTTCTGACCTAATAACGGCGAACATTAAGTCAAGATAAGATTTTTTCGATTTACCACGTTACAAATAAATTGTCAGAAACTGTAAGGTTACCAGGGTCTGACATAGATTAGCTCAAACAAATAAGACTGATGGGTTACAAATAAATAAATTCTGCTTCTTTGTTTGTCTAGAATTGGGTCATCCAGAATCTCACTAGAATGGCCTAATCAACTAAAAGATATTTTCAGAACTTAGTGGAATCTACGTGTGAACTTAGTGAGTTAACTGAGCAATATGTATCACTTGAAGGTTTATTAGAAATCAAACAGCTGGGGCATAAAACCACAAAGTGACAACATTTGGTTTATTTATAACACATATAAATCCTAGTTTGACAGAGCACCAGAAGCACATCACATAAATGAAATGATAATATTGTGTGAAAAAGGGTCGAATAGTTAATAAATAAATGGGAGAAGATAGTAATTAATAAAAAAATGGTCCAATTACAAACACAAACATAAAGAGAAGGTTTATTTTGTTCTTATGGAGAATGTAAAAGAAAACTACAGCAGGATTGATACTGGCTTCTGATAATATCTCAAGCTACTGAACTTTACGGTCTACGAGACCCCTATCGAGTAGTTATGATGGATCACTAGCTGCTGATCCTATACGGCCATTTTTCATACTACGTCCCCACGTCGTTAATTAACTTCCCTTTTTTGCACCTAGTCTGAGTGTCGGTAGATAAGACGAGGTGTGTAAGCTTCTAAAATGACATTAGGAAACAACATCCAATTAATCGAACTTGGTGTTCCAGGATGGTGATACGAAATAATAATAATAGTTTATTCTTAAATAACAGTTTGTTACACGAAGCATGCCAGTTTACAGGCAAGGCACGAAGTGAATCATCATCACTGATCTCGGATACATGATATCTCACCTTACTAATACTAATCTAGTGCACCAGTTGCACTTCTTCGAAGCACTGATAACCGAACACCTTCGGTTCAGAGGGACCAAGTTTTACGAGCACAAAGCAAAACTTCTTACTGATGTTGTAAAGCCGATTTTCACAGACAGAATAACATAATGACGGCGCCAAAGATGTCCGGAATTGTGATAGAGAGCTCTGGCTTTTACTAAGTATAGACTGATCTCATCTGTCACGTCACCAACAGGATACACAAGGCCCAAACACACTGACATTTCAACTATTTCCATAGGCTCACTTCAAAAGGTAAGTCCATAACATGGTTCTGTGGCCTTTGGAGTACGTTGCATTTCAAAGTTAGAAAAGTACATGCCATACATACAAACTAACTGGAACTGATTAAAAGTAGTATGAGTGGGTTGTACATCACCACACAGTAAAACAATGTCGTGTGAGTACTTGAAGTTGAAAAGTCTTTTTCCAAGGATAAGATATCCATCAACACCAAGTATTTACTTCAGAGTTGTTTTGCAAAATGCTATCGGTGACAAAATGTTGTGACATACACTGCGGAAATCACCAAACTTCACGAGGCAAGCGATAACTTGGAATCCTGAAGGGAAACGGAAAAGAAGGCCGAAGAACACACTGCGTCGGAATTGAAAGCAGACATGGAAAGGATGAATAGTAAGTGGAAACAACTGGAAAGTATTACCTAGGACGAAGTTGGATGGAGAATGCTGGTGAACGTCCTACGCTCCCCCATGAGGGTTAACGGGTGTATATAAGTGAGATAAGCCATATAAAGTTGCTCCAAAATGTTTTCGGCACTAGAAATTCAGCTATGTGGAGCAGAATCCCACCAAGCATCCGATAGAGTAGAACATTTAGGCTTATATAGCGAACACTCTACATCCTGAGTCTTACTACACGATGTGCGGACCTTTGAGGCAATCGAATACTTCTCTCACTAAATTATGTACTTGGTCTTGCTCAGACCACGAATCATTCATTCACATCAGGTACTTTCATCTTACCACAGTTGCCAATTTTCGTTGTTTCTAAGAAAAAAGTGGTGGTAGAATAAAGAAACTGAAGTCTATATGCAAAACCTAGCGGCTGTTGAAATGGAATACAACTCAATGATAGGAAACATGCTTTTTAAATACTGTTGGCATTATCCACATCACGAAAACGAATTATTTTAGGGGTTTGAAACAACCCCATGCTTGACCAGATTACCAATAAGAGGCTTATTCAGTCTCCCTGTGAATAATTCCTAAAATCAGAAGATCTAAGAGCTATGAATCTATTGAGTTGAATTCATTATGAGACTTGCAAATGAAATCTATGCATGTTGCGTAAAATGTATGATTCATTGCCTAATACAAGTTATCGATTTTGACTTACTTTTGTAGGAAATATTCATGATACAAATGTCTGACACTGGTTTTAAAGGCTGTCTAGACAAAGGATTACATACATAAAAATTACAGTAAGATTCAGATTCATAAAGTGGTTATGTGAATTATTCATGGACAAGTAAAACGTTTCAAGCAAAATAAGATGATCAGTAGTCCCATTATAATATTTGGCTGAAAGCAAACACTTTGGTTCCAATTCTAGTTATTTTAACTTCATATGAAATTAATATCTGAAATGAAGTCCAAGTGCGACAGCAAGCAAAAGACTAGACGCTGGTAGCTGGAACCTAACCATTAACGTTAATCAGTCCAATTTATAATTTTTGAGTATCGTGGCAAAAGAAGTAACATCTAAGTGCATGTCAAAAATAGTTGAATTTGAAAACATCTGTTAATTAAGGATTAAAATAGGAATTATTTGTGTCAGTTAGTTTATTAATAAATTTACCACCCACACCCAAAAATTATTAGTATCCCAAAACAAAGTCGTATGTTACACGAATTCCTCCAAGTAGTACGAACAACAACCTATCCTTTATTAATCTCGCGTTTGTTTTCCAAAAACGTCTTATTATTATATATACAACTGATAGAATTTTATAGTTCTAATCACGACCCAGTGTTTTTAGTGGGGAGATTGAGATATCAGTTATTGGTTCTAGAAAAAATACTCCCTTTAAATGAAATATTACTCTGAGGCTGTGGTTGATAAGATTGAACATACGTTTATTTATCCATCTATTTACTTCACACTAAAACACGTGACTCCCATTGAAACATCCAAGACAGTATACACAGGGATCGCTATATCATAGCATTCTCTAGTTCAGTACCAAAGGGACTACATTCAAAGAAACAAAAACAATATAGTACCACACTTTATGAGATAAGACTACGATTAGTTTAATCAACATGAGACAACGTTTTACTTAATTAATCCGACGGTAAAACTCTAACCATAAGTCGAGACTGATAGTATTGAGTAATAAATACTTTTCGTTGAACTGTATGCCTTATAATGTTAACTCGAAGCTTTCTGACCTTGTAACTATAAAATCATTAGAATGATTAAATACATGCGTCTTCGTAAACGTTTTAGTTAACCTTCCACAATTTCGCTATTATCAATGTATTGAAACAATATAAATCACGTTTATGTAATTTACTGATCACATATGATTTAAAAAAATGAAATTGTTAGTCTCAAAACTAGGGCCGTTATCTCACTTTTTAAAGCTAATATTCTAGTAATTCAGTGATTATTAGTACGCTAGCAATGTCTTTCAACAGATTATAAAAGCAAATCATTATTTATTAACCAATTCACCCAGATATACACGCAGACTAATGTCGCTACAAAGTACTAATAATACTAAAATTCGCTGAAATAAATTTGTCACAATTGAAAGGCAATTTCAACAAGTTATTGTAAGTTTATACAAACCTGCAATCAGATAAAACTTTTGAATAATCTTGCATTTGAATATAACACAACGCTCTGTTTGAATAATACGAAGAAATATTTGGTTGTTGGGTGATAGCATGTGTATAGCATTGAACTGCTTCGTTATATTGACATGAGTTGAACAGTTGATTGCCCATGTCTTTCAACGATTGATGGGTAAGTGTGGATATATCAAGACCTCTTAAAATATTTGACATGGTTGAAATAGTTCCCCTATAAGTAAAAAGTAAAGTAAGGTTTACAATTCCGCTTAATAAGGAATAAAGAAAAACGATGATTGAAGTTAATCACGGATCGTTTTACCAGAATGACGAAATTTTCCGATATGTGTATGAAGTCATCACTCGTACTGAGATCCGAATTCTAGAATGACAAAAACGTCAAGAAACCACATCCAGTCATTGAAATACACGATATTACTCAGGCTACATAAAAATTGGACAACTGGATAGGCGCAATTACAAAAGTTCAATACAGAGTTCCTACGAGATGAGTTCAACATAGATCACTGCATCAACTTCCAAGCCCTACAAGATCAATTAGAAGGGACGACTATAGAGAGCAACTGGAATGGGATTACAAAAACATGAACTTAAAAATGCCGGGTGTCGCTACCTATAGAGCATCAATCAGTTAGCCAGCACAAATAATGGGTCTCTGTAAACGTTCTAGGCACGACTGAAGAAAGGAAAAACAAGAAGATTGCAGTCAACACTATCCAAACAAGAGCAGAGAAAGACACAGGTCAAATACGCAAAAGCAAACAAATGAATGAAGAGCATCACAGCTGGAAAGTGGAAATATGCAGACCTGGCAAATACTGTAGAAAAGCTGCAAGCAAAGGGATTTCGGAAGAAACATATAATATAATCAGGGGACTAGTAGTAAAATATGGTTCACAAGAACAACTAGTCAGCGATAAAAAAGGAGAACCAATCACTAAGGATCAAAAGGAGAAGAACAGGTGGGTAAAACACTTCGAAGAACTCTTGAATAGACTGACTAGGGTTACATTATTACAATTGGAGGGTATCTGGAACTCAAAACAACTATCAGTCAACATCAAAGTCGGAATTTTCAGCACAAACGTCAAAACATTTCCAGATATTGGAGCTGAAACTTGCAGGACTACTACAACTATCATTATCAAAGAAGTACAGTTATTTATAAACAGCTATCTGCGTAAGATACTTTAAATCCATTGACCAGACGCCACCAGCTATAACCTACTGTGGCAGAAAACGGACCAGATGCCAGCTGAAGAGGAAATTAGGGAAAGACTTTGGATGTGGATAAGACAAATTTTACACAAACCATCAAGCTGTAACAAAAAGCAAATCCTAACCCGAAATACTGAAGGCTGAAAGGAAAGAGGGTGACAAAAGAACACATATTCCCGGGGATCGGAAGCAGGCACTATGAATTTAAGTAACACTTGGTAACAACTAGAAAGGTGAGCCCAGGATAAAGTTGCTTGGAGATGACTGGCCGATGTGTTGTGTACTATGAGATAGACGGCTTAGGAAAAAGTGGAATTCTCTATTAAGTCAATAAGATAGATGGACTCAGTCTTTTGTTGATTATTTGCTTAGATAGATATAATGACCAACCATTTAATCGTCACCTCCCGTAACCGTTTGCCAAACTCAATACTAAACCTGAAGTAAGTGTCTGCACCACCATTGTAACCAATTTGAAGCCATGTCACTCGACACCTCCAACCATTGGTTACGGTGATTGTGCTAACCTCAAACTACCCACCTACCAACACGACTCAGCCCAACAGTGAATGACTTCATAAACTTGTACCACATTTTGGATTGGTTACCCCTAGCCTTCCTTCAAATTACCCCTACACCAGGAAACAACGCGCGTCGAGGTAGAAGGTGGTTGGGCATACGTAATACATGTCCCAATCACATCGATTGGTGAAGATTCACTACCTCATCAACCAGTTTGTCATTTCTATCTAGTACGCTACGTCTAACTCGAGTATTGCTCGCTCTATTGTCCCAATATACGTGACCAATACTTCGAGGGCGTCTATGATCAAATACTATTAGTAAGTTACATATAGGTATTAAAGCGCATAAATAATAAAGGATATGAGTAGTCTGCAATTATTCGGTCGCTCTCTGTAGGACCACCAGATTGCCAAGTAAATTTTGTAAGTTGGTTAATACTGTTGTGAAATCTTATCAACACATGTACGTAAGCTGCACCACACCCTGATAGGTTATGTTGGTTAGATAGTCACCCCTGTCTTTTTATATTCTTGTAGATCAGCAGAAAATCGTCGGTCACTTCTAACCATTTTGGTTGATAATGCTCTTCGATCTAGCACTTCCTCGCTTTTGGATATTTTACTACTTCGACAGCTAGTATACATTTTCTGTCTTGATTCCATTCCTGTCCTACAAGAGTAAGTGCCTATAGGATCCAAACCACGTTTGGACTGCTGGACAGCTGCTTGGATAAGTTGGATACGCGCCCTTGCCCGTTTGAAATCAGAACAAGGTAATTGGGTAAGATAGCGGTTCTAAACAAATATAACCACACAGCTATCCAACCAATAATTGTTTAATTGATCAAATCTAAACAATCACCACAAATAAATGTTATTCTATCCTGACTGGATAGATCACGTACAGATTCGTTCAAAAGGTAATAATTGGTCGCTCTATAACACAGAGTGTTTTCAATTCTGGAAGAGTGCTTCAATTCACAACCAAAATGCACAATTCCAGTCAACACAGGTCAAGCAATCAAAAGCAGGGATAAACCAAAATGGCTGCCGCCCAGAGCTAGTATGAAGTAAAACAACATAAGTGCAGTTCAGGAAGAAACATGGGGAATTGGTGAAGGTGTAGTAAAAACGAAACTATAATAAAATACAAATATTAACAATTCAAATGTAGTCAAAAAGTTAACAATGTACAACTAAAAGAATCAATAGGAACAAAGTGTAAGTATATACATGGAGGGATTTTCACAAACACACAAGGCAGTCAAAATGGATCTTACAGTGCCTTCAAATATTCTTTTCTCGGAAGAATATATAACTTTTATTTATTGCTGTCCATATATGTGGCGGTTGTATTTGATATCCTGGTCCTTTTATAATTACCTGCTACCTTGGTTTAGTGGCTCATGTTGTTGGCCTCACCTCGCCAAAACAGAGAGCTGACGACATACATCCTTCGTGTATCTGGCCACCTGAAGGTTAGTTTTTGTGGACCGGCAGGTGTAGGTATAGCACTAAGTACGAGGGCAGAACAAGCACTATTAACTGAAATCTGGGAGTTGGACGTAATCACATCTGATTGGTCACAATCACTGATTGTCCCAATATATGAGAAGGGGTCAAAATCATCTTGTGATAAACATAAAGGGATTAGTTTGACTAATATAGCATCTAAAATGCTAGCTTCAATACTTATCGGGCGGTTAACAAAGACTCGTGAACTGCAAACACGATAAAATCAGGCTGGCTTCAGAGTTGTTTGTGGCTGCATCGACCACATATTCACTATTCCTCAGGTTTTAGAACACAGACATGCTTATCGGCGTCCGACAACGATAGTTTTTCTTAACTTGAAAGCAGCATTTGACTCTGTTGATCGAGAGGTTCTGTGGCAGTGTCCGTCATTGAAAGATGTACCTCAGAAGTACATAAACCTTGTGAAGGCTCCTTACTCAAACACTACCAATCGAGTGAGAGCTTATAGCGAACTGTCATCTGATTTAGCAACCTCAAATGGTGTTCATCAAGGCTGTCCACTATCTCCATTTTTGTTCGATTTCATCATTGACCTACTGCTGGTAATAACGCTTTCGTCATTTGAATTCTTGGGAATCGATCTCCTTCCAGGAGATCCACTTATTGACTTAGAATACGCAAATGACATAGTCCTGTTTGGTGAAGACGCTGATAAAATGCAGAGTCCTTTGGTAGTACAGAACAATACCAGTATGATTGAGATGCGTTTCTACCCCTCTAAATGCAAGTTGTTGCTTCAGGACTGGCCTGCATCAACACTTGAACTAAGGATAGGGAGTGAAGTAGTCGAATACCTTGACAACTTCACTTATCTTGGGAGTCTGATCAACCTTAGTGGGTTGGTGTTTGATAACATCTCTGCACGGATTCAGAAAGCTCGTTTGACTTTTGCCAACTTACGCCACCTATGGCGAAGGCGAGATTTTCGTCTATCAATTAAGAGACGAATATACTGCGCGGCAGTTCGTTCTGTCTTACTTTACGGCTGCGGAACTTGGCCATTAAAAGTAGAAGATATTCGTAAGCTACTAGTATTTGACCACAGATATCTTAGAAATATTTCTCTCATCTGCTGGGATTACCGGGTAAGTAACAGTGAGGTTAGACATAAGGTATTAGGGAATGATGGTAAATTAGTTGATGAGGTTGTGAACCTTCATCGACTGAGATAGTTGGGCCACGTGTTGCGTATGCCTGAACACCGATTACCACGATGCGCAATGCTGACTAGTGTTAGGGATGGCTGGAAGAAAGTTAGGGGCAGCCAAATCAAAATGTGTGGCATCAGTGCTTGAAGTCATTAAATCCTGGTCTGAGCCACGTTGGTAAATGCAGACTACTTGGTTGGGGTCTGCGTGACTATCGTGACCAGTGCTTGGAGACTCTTGGTGACACGGCTCAGAATCGATCACAATGGCGTCGGTGTACACACTCTTTGTCTTCCCTTAAACTATGAGATTGAAATCGCTTCACATCTTCCTCTCTACGAACTAATTCTTTCTTCCTGTACTATGTCCTTATATGCAATCTTTCTTTTATAAATCACCACCACTGAATTAACTACTTCTATAAATCCGGTGTTCATCTTGTTGTGCTAATGACCGATGCACATATGTGCCTGGTCTTACGCTTTAGTTGACTGACTGAATGAGTCACTAGACAATGCGTTAAAATAGTGTTGATCCACTGGTAATTGTCAAAAATAATCATTGAATCAGCAAATGGCATACTGGAGGAAATAGTGATTCATTTAATTGTGATAAGTGGGAAGAACATATAAAGAGCAACAATGTCATTACGATTATACGACAGAAGAAACGAGTTTAAATGGTGAGTGTGCTAACCACTGGTTGATGGCCACTCGATTTAAAGGGTTTTTGTACCGTAAGTTTGTCACTCATTTTATTGTAGGCTCCGCGATATTAAGCAACAGAAGTTAACTCTGAATCAGACTCAAAATTCGCGTCATTGGATTATATATTTGCATGTAGTATTAATAATAATATATTTCTGCATGTGCAGGTACACACCGTCTTTACAGGCATGATCTATAAATTACAA